CTGCTGCTCCTGCCACTGCCACCTCCTTGCCCCCAGCAAGAGCGGTTCTCATACTGCCCCAGGACTGGAGGAGAGCGCAGCTCCTCACTCATGGAGATCACCGGTGGGGAAATGGTCCCGGAAAGTGGTAAGAAATGCACGAGCCAGGAAGCGGTCATGCTCCCTGGCAGGAGAGGGTTGCACGTTCATTCCAGCAAAGGTTTGTGCAACCCTCTCTGGCCAGGGAGCATGACCGCTTCCTGGTCAGCGCACCTCTAACCGTGCCCACTTCCCAACAGGAAGATCTCCATGAGTGAGAAGCTGCGCTCTCTTCCAGTCCTCCTGGGGCAGCTCGCCTCCCCGCTGGCAGCTTTTCCTTCTCCTTGCTGCTCCAGGAGAAGCCTGAGACTCAACTTTCCTTGGCAAAGCACTTCATCATGGCAGCACAGGGAACACGTGCGGCGCCGGGGGATCCGTGCAGCTACTATCCCACTCAAGGAGAAGATGGAGGAAGAGGGGCGGGGGAAGTCAAACGGAGGCTACCTGAAGCAAGCTGCAGCCCTATTACGCAGGACTCCAAGTGGTTGGAGAAGAGGCAGAAATAGCAGCCAGGGCTGCGCTTTCAGCGGGTAAGCAACGCTGCCTCTGCCATGAGGAACTTTGGAGAGAGAGGCCGGGGGCAGCCTGTAGCCGTTCTCGCCAGCTAAGAGACAGGCTGCTCGCACAGCCTGCCCCCGCCCTCTCCAATGTTCCCCACGGCAGAGGCAGCATTGCTTACGTGCTGAAAGCCCAGCCCTGGCTGCTATTTCTGTCACTTCTCCAACCGCCCTGCATAATCGCGCTGCAGCTTGCTTCAGGTAGCTGCCATTTGGACTCCCCCCCTTCCTCCATCTTCTCCTCCTTGAGTTGGAGCTTCGCGGCATGGCCGAGGCTGAGGAGGGGTGGGATAGTAGCTGCACAGATCCCCTGGTGCCACCCGGGTCCCCTGCCCTGCAATGATGAAGCGCTTTGCCGAGGAAAGCTGAGTCTCAGGCTTCTCCTGGAGCAGCAAGGAGAAGGAAAAGCTGCCAGCGGGGTGGCGAGCTGCCCCAGGAGGACTAGAGAGTGCAGTTTCTCACTCATGGAGATCTACCGGTTGGGAAGTGGGCGCGGTAAGAGGTGCGCTGACCAGAAAGCAGTAATGCTTCCTGGCCAGAGAGGGTTGCACAAACCTTTGCTGGAGTGAATGTGCAACCCTCTCCTGCCAGGGAGCATGACCGCTTCCTGGCTCGCGCATTTCTTACCGCTTTCCACGACCTTTTCCCCACCGGTGGATCTCCATGAGTGAGGAGCTGCGCTCTCCTCCAGTCCTCCTAGGGCAGCTTGCCTCCCCGCTGGTGGCTTCTCCTTCTCCTGCCTGCTCCAGGAGCAGCCTGTCTGTTACCCAGCGAGAATGGCCTGCCACCACAGTCTGCCCCCGCCCTCTCTGCCCTGGCAGTTGCTCCTGGTGCTGTCAGAGAAGCGGCAGCACGACAACCGCTCTTGCTGGGGGCAGGAACAGCAGGCTGGGGCTTCCCTCCCTCCCTCCCTTCCTCCCTCTGGAGGCCTGGGGCTGTGCTAGAAGTCTGCTTGGGTGGGGAGACAGGGAAGACCCGGACCGCCCCATCCTTGCCACCACCGCCTCCTCGCCCTTGGCGGCAGCGGTTCTCGCACAGCCGCTTCCCTGGCAGTTGCAGGAGCAGCTGGCAGGGGAGAGGGGATGGTGGCAGGCTGCGGCAGCAGGCAGTTCGAGCCAGCTAAGAGGCAACGTTCTTCCTCCTGCCAGCCTCAAGCTCAGCTCCAGGCAGCGTCCAGCCAGCCATACCTGGCCTCCCCCTGTGGCAGACCATGTGGATTCCAGGCAGTGCAACTTTGGGGCCTTTCCTCATGGTGGCGGTGACGAGGCAGGCAGGCAGCTGGGTGCACGGGAGCGACTGGTGGCAGCGTTCCTGGCTGGCAAAGGGCGGAGTCCTGGGGCTGCATGCGGGCAATGATGGTATGACTGGTGTGCACGCGCACTAAGACATTAAGGCCAGCTGATCGTTGCACACGCATGCGCACCAGTAACCAGCAGACTAGCTGGCTGGTGCGCATGTGTGCCCTGGAAACCCAGAAGAAGCTTGTCGTGCATTCTTTCCAAAAATCGGGACTTTTTAAAAACGCTGCGGGACAAATTGTTAAAAATCGGGACTGTCCCGCCAAAAGTGGGACGTCTGGTCACACTAACTAAAGGTCTCCTGAGCATAGAAGAAATATTTCATTTCATAATAATTGACATGTTCCTCATTTTAATAGCTGCTCCACTGAAGACTGCTAATTAAATGGCTGCTACTTAAATTATTTTTCCCTTTGATAAAGTAGTATTTAAAATCACAAAAAATGTAATGGTTCATCCTCAAATTAAATAATCAGCAGCTGACAGATATGTTGAAAATAGTAAGGCTTAAATCATCAATTAAATCAAGGACACTGTAAAGAGGTTAATAATGATATGGTAGCTAAGGAGGAATGGATCCATGGGGACATATTCATATTAAAATTCCAAACAAAGATGTACCCTATATTGGAACAAATTAGTACCTGGGAATGTAGAGAAGTATAGTCAATTATACTGTGATACTGGAGAAATATTTTGTTATTTTTAAAAATAATGCAGATGTGTTATTTCAGATATTTTTCTGAATTTTTTTAGGAGCCTATGAAATAATGATTTTTTTTTCTTAAGATTTTTACATGTGAGATTTAGCTTGGATTGTTTTAGATGCTGTTTTAAAAATAAATTTAAAAATTTTCCATTCTAATACTATATTATAAGTTCGAAAATTTGCCTTAGACATTACCTGCCATATTTCCCTGGGTGTTAGCAATATTACACTTCATAATTTAAATTCTGAACCCTCTTCCTCAAATAGGAATGTCCCTTCCATCAAAGTAGAATGTAGAGCAAGGGTGTCAAACTCAAGGCACGGGGGCCAGATGCGGCCATGGGGTACTTAGATCTGGCCTGTGGGGCCACCCTGGAAACTGCGAAGGGTCGGCCCATGGTGCTTCTTCCACCAAAAATGGGCTCCTAAGGAGTCTCCTCAGAAGTCCGTTTTCGCTGGCAGAGCGCTCGGGTCACCACAGATGCCCCCGACATGAGTGACATTGAACTGGTGATGCTCACTCCAGCCACCTGAGGTCAAACACAACCCTCATGCGGCCCTCAATGAAATCAAGTTTGATATCCCTGATGTAGAGGAAGAGATCAATTGATGCTTATTAACATCCACGAATGATTTCCAGCTGGATAGATTTAAAAATAGGAAAGGGCATTGACTTCTCTGCTAATGATAGCATACCATGAAGAACAATCCAATGAGAGTGACGACGTAGAGTAACATTAAGTAGAATCTAAACTTGTATGGAAATATGTTTAATAAAATTCATGCATATACACTGCAGACTGTAAAACTGTCAACTTGAACTTAGTCTGTTTGACTCACTTTGCTTCCAACTATGTCTACAGGATCTCTTTATTAAGGAACCAGTTTCCTCCTCTGATGTAGCCCTGCTTATATGTTCAGGAGACTATCAATTACTTAGATTTTAGTAATAAATTAAGTTGGATCTGTTTATATCTTAATTTCTCAACATTCAACTCCTTATTTCATAGATTGTTTACCAATCATTTATATTTGCCTGCCACATTTTTCTGTCTTACGTTGACGTTTTGTTTAAAACAATAATTATGGATTGATTGCTTTAATAACTTCCAAGTTGACATTTGCTGGGGCAAAGAATATGAAAAGATGTTCCAAATATAATACATGGACAATATGATCCCTAAATTTAATTATATGTAAAAGAAATCTAATCGTTTCTTTACCTAGTAGGTATAATGAATTTTCAGGAACTACTTAACAATGGACTTCCTATACCAAACATGAAGATATATTGATACCATACCACCTAAAACTAAGTAAAAATCCATAGAAATATTAACAGATTAAATGTACATCTTGAAATATACTGAACTAAAAGGGCATTTTACATAATAGTGGTAGATTAAATAGGATTAAATAGCCTTTCATCTGATAGTTTTGAATTATTTGTTTCTTTGAAGTAAACTAATAGTATGACAATAGTGACTACTTTATAATTTCTATATATAACAGAAATTATATTTCTATTCTTGTAAAATCTGAATGTGTTACAACATCATTTTAATTATAAATATTATCTTCACCATTGCGTCAAGAAGAAAAATCACCCATTTCAGAAAAGACAATATTTTACTATCCTTCTCTCATCTACCATTGTACTGATGACCATTCTATCATTGTAGTGATTAATAATAGCTATGTGCAGAACTAGAGCCATACTGAAAATCTTGGAACAAAGCAATTGCATACCAGAGGGTACAAAATTATCAGGTATGATTCTGATATGTTCACAATGTACAGAACATATAGGAAATTGTAACTGATAACTTCCTATGTAACATATCCACATTCTATTGCAGCGATGGGGCTTTTAAGAAAATAAAAGTGCGTGAGTTTTTCTGAATTTAAAAGAACAAAAATAACAATGAGACCATTGTCCTAATCTAGTAAATAAATTTCTCATCTTAATGGTCAATTATAAGTAACTGACAAATCTAAAGGAGATGCCTTTTACGTTACCAAAAAATAGCTACCCTTGATATTTTGAAGCTTATCCCAGGCATATAAACTGCTCCTAGCTAATTAGAGAAGTTCATTAAGTCTTCTCTTTCATTCATTTTTCTGATTTGATTTGCAAATCAATGTAACACTTTATTTTAATTTGAATGATAAAGTAACATGTACTGCCATATTGCACAAACTACATGTTCCAAATGACTCTTTTAGTAATCTTAATTACTACACTACTTATAAAAGTATTTTGTCCTGTCTTGTAAGTGAGAAGAATTTATTAACAAATAAAGATTGGAAAAAAATATGTCAAAATAAAAATATCCATAAAAGTAAATATGGACTTACGGAGAGTAGAATTTGGATGGCACTATGAATGACCTCTAGGTACTGAAAGTCAATTATGCAACCTGTCACAGAGACATAGGAAATATCATCTATGATCCCAGGAGCTGAAGGGCGCACCACTCTTCGTATGCAGCCTGGCCCATGTTCTCGCCACCAAGATCGATGCATTGAGATGTTAAAGGTCATGAGATCTGTTTCCTAGTAAACAAAACAAAATAAAGCATTTAAAATATCTAATTTTAATGATTTAATATGAAAAATATTCACCAAAGGAAATACATACTGCCACAGTACAGTTTAAAACAATGGAGATGAAAATTGCCTGTAAAAAGAATCTGATCAGTCTCCTTTTGGAAATGTCTCATGTTCTTACAACCTAGACAGATATTTCAGTTTCTATTTCCAAATGTGGCAATAAAGTATTAACTGATCTATAAAATGAACAGAGACAAAATATTTCATCTCTTTCTTGAAACACAGTGACCTTTGCCAACATTTAGCAAATATGTAGATAATATTCAGAATATCCAAGATAATTCTGAGAGGAAATGTACAATGTTCTTTTCCCATGAATTACTGAAAGCATCTAAAGAATTCTAATTATTTCTTACTACCTCAACACTTTTGTCTACAAATCAAGGAAGGTTAGCGTTAAGGAAAAATTTCAAATAAATTATTTCATGGCTTCAAATTCTAATGTACAGCTCATTTTGTCTAGGATTAATCTCAGTGCAGAGATAGCATATCAAACCATAATTAAATCAGGAAACCAAAGGGACAGGGAAAGATATACAGTATATGTCCAGTCGGTTAAAAGAACCCAAGACATTAAAATGCTATAATCTAGGCCTTACAAGGCCTGTAAATTGGATCCGGTTCCCTTTGATTTTTAGATACTCCATAAGGAGGAGAAAAAGCTCTTTTTGTTCAATTGCTGGTACCTAGCCTTTGACTCTTTCTTCGTAAATTTCCTTAGGACACTATTCACCATCCTCTAGGTTTTTATTTTTCTTTACCACCTATTGTGGATATTAAACTTTGCATGTTCATTATTTTTGCGCTCTGTTTTTCTTCCTTCACCCTTATGAGCTGGCTGTTTGAATTGCTTTTACATGTTGCAATATTCAATGTTCCATAGGTGTTATACAAATGATAGAATATGATGATCTGCTGGAATAAAGCCCAATGAGTCTTTCAGAAGTAATGTTGAGATCAGATGGCCTCATTAGAATGATAGATTGAGTCATTAGATACTCATCATTTAACACTGCATGGTAATGCCATTAACAATATCTTGTCCTCCCACCTTATAAGAGTATTATTTGCTTAGATAAGATAGTTTGGTATCAAACTATTCTTAACTCTCACTATTGAAGGGCCAGTAATTTACAGATACAGTAATCTGTATCTACCAATGTGGAAATATTCATTCAAGGAAAATATATATAGTTGATATTTAATATGCAAAATGCAGTTCATCTATTCCTACTTATGATGATTATTTTTACTAACAAATTTGTTGAATCAATTTATGTCAATGAATTACAATGCTCAAGTTGTTTTTCTTGTAAAAGCCCAGGAAATAGGCTCTGTGGTTCCTACTGACTGCAATATAATTTTAGTTACTTATATAAAAGATAGTCATAATGTAGTAACCACTAAAGGAATTGATAGGATTGAAAATGTTCTGGCATTTTTGTTTCTTTATTAATGCTCAGTAGAGATTAGGATTCACCACCCTAAGCAGGAATAGATGTTTTACAAAACATATCATATTTATTCCATATACTCATGAGACTTCTTTAGAACTTAACAAAGAATATACATGATACATCATATATAAATTGTTTCTAAGTTTGACCATGTAGTCAGTTTTAAATCAAATTTAAAAATACTCTAGTCACTTGCACCTGAAAATAAATTGGAGATGCTCTTCAAGGACTAAGAAATTATTCAAACATTTCTATTATATTTCAGGTGCTTTCATGAAGTGAAAACCACATGGGTTTTATTTATTCTGGGTTTCCCTGAAACTGTGCTAATTTAACTCACCACCCCTAATTTGAAGTCTACAATGTGACTGACTGATTGTTAGTTGTTTTGTTCTTAGGGATTCTATAATTTTTTTTTAATGTTGAAAACTTACATTTTTGTGAGTTGGGCATTATATAAACCAATAAATAAATAAATATTTTCTGTACAATAAGCAGAACACAAACTAGTGCAGACATTTGGCCAATACAGAAGATTTCTATAGGAAATGGTTTCTATTCTCACATTCTGTAAATGTTTCAATGTAAGGTACATTATATTTAAGCACAGTGAAAGAAGAAGAGAACATTGAAATAGCCACACATAAGATAGCAATAGCATTTAGGCTTATAACCACTTCATAGTGCTTTTCAGCCATCTCCAAGTAGTTTACACAGTCAGCATTTTGCCCTCAACAATCTGGGTCCTCATTTTACTGATCCCAGAAGGGTGGAAGGCTGAGTCAACCCTGAGCCGTTCAGAATCAAATTTCTAGAATGAGCAGTGAGTTAGCCTGCAGTACTGCATTCTAACCACTGCACCCCTATGAGTCTTGAATAGATGAAATCTATTTCACATAAAATAAAATGTCTGTAGATTTACACAGCAAATAAATTGACATCAAATCTATCAATTGACACATCAGGAGAAATATTCTATTATTTGACATTTATTTATCAAATGCCAAATAAAGATAGTTTCTTACAGAGAATCTACAAAGCAGAATGACAATTTATAGTTTGTTTGTTTTTTTGCTTTAATTTATATGCCCCCTTCGCTGGAGACTCAGGACGGCTTACAATGCATTAAGCAATAGCCTTCATACTTTTGTATATTTATACAAAGTCATCTTATTGCCGTCACAATCTGGGTCCTCATTTCACCTACCTTTGAAAGGATGGAAGGCTGAGTCAACCTTGAGCCTGGTGAGATTTGAACTTGCAGTAATTGCAAGCAGCAGATGTTAATAACAGTGCTTAGTCCACTGTACTACAGGCTCTTAATGTTATCTTGTTATCATTTTCTTCAAATCAGAAAGATTTGCAGCACAAAATAATTATTCCAGTTAAAAAGTGGAAATTAAGAATTATACTATTTTTAAAACATCTTGTGACTTATATAAAAGGTTAACCTTCATTAAAGTGGACACTTAACTAGAATAAAATGATTAATGACAATTTTCAAATGATTTTTGAATTTATTTTTAAACATGCAGGAGAAACTGGGATCATCCAATTACCTTTTTACCAATTACATCAGATAAATGTCCATGATTCCCAAAGGCTAATTAACACAGACGTTTGAAAGGTAAAAGGTTAGTAATAACTATTCTTATTTATGAAGACTTTTAAAAGTAATGGAGACTTGCACTTTTTAAAAGTGAGGAACATATTTAAATGTAAATGCTTGGCAATGAAGTTATCCAGATTTGTAGACAAATAGTCTTAGGAACAGACAAAGGAAATAAGAATATGGAAATAAAATATCATTTTGATTAAATCAATTATGTCCAAACAACTTAGAACTTATTCTTAGGAACTACAAAGGTAGATTTACAAAATAATCTATTCCCAACCTACTCCCTCAGGTTTTCTGAGGTAAATTGAGCACATCCATGATAACAATAATAGAAGTGGAAGGGACTTTGGAATCTTCTAGTCCAATCCCCTCTTCAAGTAGGAAACCCTATGCCATTTTGGATAAATGGCTTTCCAATCTCTTTTCAGAAAATTTCTAGTGAAGTAGCACCCACAACTTCTGTGGGTAAGCCCTTCCCCTGATTAATTGTTCTCCCCTCATATATTTCTCCTTAATTCTAGGTTCGATCTCTCTTCGATAAACTTCCATTGATTACTTCTTGTCCTGCCCTCAAGTGCTTTGAGGAATAGATAAATCTGTGCGACAGCCCCTCAAATATTGGAAGACTGCTATCATGTCAGCCTTAGTCCTTCTTTTGTAAGACTAGACATACCCAGTTCCTACAACTGTTCATCATAGCCCTCAGTCCCCCGATCACCTCTGTTGCTCTTCTTTGCGCTCTTTCTAGAGTCTCAACATCTTTTCGTGTTGTGGTGCCCAAAACTGGATGCAGTATTCCAACAGCGGTCTTACCAGTGAAATGTACAGCAGTACACAATAATCTGCATCTATTAATGCAGCCTAGAACTGCATTGGCTTTTTTCATAGATGCAGCATACTGTTGCCTCATACTTAAGTGGCTATCCACTAGGATACCTAGATCCCTTGCACAGGTGCAGCTGTTGAGCCAAATACCATTTTTTCTATACATGTGCATTTGGTTTTTCTTATCTAAATACAAGATCTTACTTTTCTCACCAATGAAATGCATTTTGTTGGGTAGGTCAAGATCTTTCTGAAACTTGAGCCTATCTTCTAAGGCATTGGCTATTTTCCCCAGTTTGGTATTGTCTCCAAATTTGATGAGTTCTCTTCTATTTCCTCATCTAAATCACTTATGAAGATGATGAAGAGTACTGGCCTAAGACAGAACCATGGGATATTGCACTGCAGCTTCCTTCATATAGTTGTGATATTTAATCTTTTTGTTTAGGAACCAATAATTAACCATTAGGTTAATTTAACAGTGAAGAAGAATATCTGATAGATGAAGAATATAAACATTTATATATCTGAAGAAAATCTTTAAAAGAAAATAGATCATGCAAATAAATAATGATACAGCATTTCATGTGTAATGACTGACAGATGACAAGATTCTATAGTTGAAAAAACTATAAACCATGACATTACCTTTCCTCATAAAGCAGTCAGTAGCTTGGGGGTATCTCTATTTTTCGAATGGCTTTTTAACCAGTATCTCACTTTGCATTCATCTCATGGAAAAGATCCTTGGGATTTATAATTCATACAGCAGCTTGAATTATAATGATGTAGGACTGACCCTATCCTTTATTTTTGCATAAAATTATTTCAGGATGTTATATATATAAATTCAGTCTAAATCTACAGGGATACAGCATCAATACCTCTGCTGAAAACTGCTTGTACGGTATAGCTAAGAAAAAGGGCTTTCTGATGTAAACTTATTACGATTGTTTAACTGGACTAGAAGCACAGATTTGCATTTTCAGCATGACAGTGGATGCTAGCTGGTATACAGATTTGGGTAACAGTGAGCTAACAAA